AAATGCAATTTTTTATTAAAGAAAAAAAAAAAAAAAAACAAAAATATATTTATTTCCAAAAAAAAAAAAAAAAAAAAAAAAAAAAAAAAACAAGAAAATTAAAAAATAACAAATCACAATAGTATACAACCACACAAGCATTAGGCCAATCATTTTAACTTAAACATATTTCATTACACCATTGTACTAAGTTTTAAAATTCATTCTTGCAAAAGGAGTAAACAAATCCTTAAGTATAGATATAGGTATCATATTTAACAATTATTATTGAATATTTGGGTCGAGAACATGGAGCGGAAAGTTAACCCAGTCTACATCTTCAGTTTGCAACGTCAGAGTAGTATAGTGTGAAAGGGTGCCTTGAATGTGCTATATATATATGACCATTGACCACTGACTACTGCTCAAAACATTCTTTATCCAAAATAGTCATTTTTTTTAAATGGAGATATAAAGAAATTAATTTTTCCGACATCAATGGACGTAGGTACACCCCAATGGGTGTCACTCGGTCGGCGTAATAATTTCAATCTATTGCATTTGGATATACGTGTAGATATACAACCGGACCTCTTTTCTCGTTGCGGATTGAAATTACCTCGCTCCGTGCACCGATAACTCCTTAGAAATTCGTTTTTCTTTTAAGCGTAATAATTTCAATCTATTGCATTTCCTCGTGTGGATATATAACCGGACCCCTTTTCTCGTTGCGGATTGAAATTATCTCGATCCGTGCACCGATAACTCCTTGGAAATTCTTTTTCCCGCCTGCCACCCCTTCCTCCTCCAATACACTAGGACGCTGCGGCACCATGCCGCTTGGCTTGTTGGTTTAAGAATTTTTACTATGAAATTAATCTAGGGAAAGATCGTGCACCACGATCCCTTTGCCTTTTGTCGTAATAAATCACGACCGAATCACACTATATCAGATCATGTGTTACTTTATTGTGTACAGTATTGGGGTTGGTGTTCAAGAGTGGGCGGGTCCATATAGTTAATTCTTAGCCCAGTAGACACAAAGTTAAATTACAATTTTAAGCTAGAGAGTGCAATTTCCAGCCATCTAGAGGTGCCATAATCCCAACCGTGGTAGGGCTGAGGTGGTATAGATCCACCATCTGTAAAAGTACCTCCCCGGCTCCCTCTATTTTGAATCCCTTGATCCGCCACTGGTCATCATCATCATTATTACTACTACTACTACTACTACTACTACTACTACTACTACTACTACTACTACTACTACTACTACTACTACTACTACTACTATAGTAGTAGTATTAAACAAAACTTCATAAACGCTTGCAAAAGGATAAAAACCAAACTGAACCATAAAATATCACATTTCTGTATCTTAAAAGACATGGCCTGGGATTAACAGATTTAAGCTGATTGAAGTAAGTTTGATAAATCCATCCCTGAGCGGTACCCATTATAAACTCGAAAATTTTAATTTTTGCATTATCGTTTGATTAATTTAACGAATATTCCACGGGCTACTATCAAGTTAGCGGCTGACTTTATTGATAGACGTTTATGGTAGGTTTCTATCAGAGCACGAGTCACAAACCTATGAAAGAGTCACTTAGAAATTGTACAGTATTTAAATCAACACTAAATTATATGTATAACGTGCGCTGATGCATAATTACATACTTTAGAAGTATTCATTTTGAGTGGTCCTAGGAAAGAATTTGTATTGGCTAGCAAGAACAAGCTTTAAAATCCTAACACTCTTTTGGAAATAGGGGGTGGGGGAGCAAAGCCGCGGCTCTCACGTATAGGCCTACTCCCCTGGACACGTCCCTGGGGTGCCCGGGGAATCCCCACCCATCTCCTTCGCCACTTTAGGGTTGTATTTTTACAACTGAAAATAATGGCGGACATGTATTCTTTGATCTTGTTGATGCTGCTAGTTTGATCTGATAAAAAAACTAGTGAGAGAATTTTTTGAATCTTTACCGACCTTCGTCAAAATTTATCAACTAACGAATACATGAGATACCATTAAAAATGTCAAATTATATCATAATATTGTAATAATGAAAGAGACATCAGAAAAAAAATGTAAACGTTTTCAGTTCGAGCATGTCGTGTTCTTTGTTATAGATCCAAGTTTTTGCCGATTTGGCCTTATTTTTAAACATTTCTGAAGAGGGAACAAATGCGGCTGGTTCGTTGGTTGTTGCCAACTTGATTGTAAGATCGTCTGAGAAGTATCTGACATGATTTACTTTTCCAGAAAACTGTAAAACGTGCAACGTATTGCGCGGCCCGCGATATATTTGGCAGCTCCATTTGATTGGTTGAGAGTTTTACTTAGGATGGAAAGCCACCTCAACTTAACCCTGGTATGTGTGTGCCATATTTAGTGTCCGAATGAGTGTAATAAAAAACAATCCTATTTAAGTAGGACTACAGTAGTTGATGCATATTTAGCGAGAGAGCTACAAATTATAGGCTACATAAATATATATATTTTTTTATTATAGGCAATATTTCATTTATGTGTGAGATTTTGGTCCTTAAGCGTGAGACAGACCACCTGGAATGCGTGAGCCTTGGCGTATATGCTTGTGTGTTAATGTAATATACGGCCACATTTGGCTTTATAATACTTACCAATGCATTTGGATCATCGAGATTGTCAGCTATAAACTGAGCCAAGTCAACAGGTCCATAGAATACTTTATATGCTGTAACCCACTGACGTATCAAGCCTTCGGCATCATATCGTCCCTGTGTGACAATTCCAGTGACAGTCTTTACCTCCCCCAAATCAGCCATAATCCATTGACTATCGTCTTCCACGTTTGCTGCCCATCCACCGGTAATATCACCATCTTGGTTACCGACCGAATTAAGCCTTGCCCGTTGTGGTCCATGACCTAATTGGTCGTTATTAAAGGTGGTAGATGCTTGGAGTCTTACGTCTGAAATATCACCTGATTCCATCCCCAAGGCGCGTGATAAACATGTTTCTGCTGAGTTTGTTCCTCCTAAAATTTTGGTATTTTAACATTGTGAAATAAAGTAGCTATATTTATTAATGATAAGGATTAAGATGATATTGTAATTAATAGTAATAACAATAATAGTAGGCCTAATAATAACAATATACAACTGCCGGAGAAGGGTCACACCTTGCTTATTGGTAACCACTTAACTTGTTTTCAGATTTACTATTCACATCACAAAGCCAACACAATAAGCTAACTTTTTATTTTTTATGTATTTGTTCCTTAAACCGGGATTAACATA